TTCCCCTCTGGAGCAGTTGCCAAATTTAAATGACATCAAAACTGTTTTTGAATCTGAAGATGTACACACACATTAAGAGCTTCAGCAGAGGAGATCGTTTGAATGAAACTGTAAATTCCAGCCTGCTTCTCACACAAAGCTATAACATGATTTATGAACACTAGCTATAGTGCACAAGCCATCTAGACTACTGCTACAGTATAGTGATTCTGATGTTGGTTTTATATTTTTGGAGCTTGACAGACAGTGTTTGGAGATTGATTTGGAGCTTTTGTGTGGAAAAAAAGTAAAACAGTTTTGGAACAACAAGAGGTTAATGATGTAAGTAAATGATGACAGAATTTTCACTCTTGAATGAACTATTCCTTTAAAACTAAATTAAAATAATCTGTTTTTATGGATATGTTTTCCCAAGGGAAGAGGGGAGGAGTCGTGTTCAGAGTGAGCATGTGTTTCCAGTACCGTTTCCCTCTCTCTTTTTTCTCTCACGACTCAGTTGTCCATTTCTCACTCACGCACAGTCGCGTGTGGAGGCGAGGCAGAGCCAGAGATGAGCGGAGTCAATTAGACGAGCAGCAGTGTGTGTGCGTGTGTGTGAATCTCAGAGAAAGATGTGGAACAGTATGGCACTGCAGATGCCAGCATTCCCTCAGTGAGAGCTTCCATAGGGACGAGGACAGCTGTGGAACAGCATCAGGGGTGTTAACGAGCCTTATCTCTCTCTCACACACACACACACGCATAAATTATGCACTTTTACATTAGCGCATACACATTCTGTTCCAAAACCTATAGTGAACTTCCTACATCATAAATGTGCTTCCAATATGACGGCTGTCCAGAAAGGTAGGCAGCATAATCATGACACTTAATTCTAATGCAGCATTGCATCCTAGAATGAATTACAAAATTTTGTGATGGCAGAGTTGTGAACAATGTGAATTCTAAATAAATGTAGATTTTATTCAGTGCTGAAAAGTATACGTGTACATAAAAATGTATTCTTCTCCAAAATATTTGTGTTTTATATATTTTTATGTGAAGTATAGAATAGTAGTGTTAGCTTAGCAACATGCTATTGTCAAACTACTGAAGTCAACTGAAATGAGATTTGTGTGAGGAGTTGCTGACTATGTAAAGCATTTCAATCAGTCATGTCACCTTAGAAGGCAGCTGCCTAGGCAGTAAACAGATCTTGGAATGCTGATTCTCAATATGAACTGCATTTCCTGTTGTTACCATATGAAATTCCCATGACACACATGGAAACACACATAATGAGTATTATTCTCATTGACCTCTGTGGTATCCCAAAGGAAACATTTATTGCTCAGGGGTCATGCTTTCATAGTTCAGGAGACTTAATTGAATTCTCATTTATGGTTTAATATTTAGTTTGTCTCAGATGATTCTCCTGTAATTCTCTGAAATTTTTTTCTACTAAATGTACTCTCACTGTAAACAAATTGGCTAGATATTGTAATATTTAGTCAAAATGTGAACATTTGCTTCCCCTCTGGAATGACGTTCCTTCTCTGATGTCAGTTTTACAGCTTGGCCAGAATATCCTTAAAGGGATAGTTCACCCAAAAATTAAAATTTGATGTTTATCTGCTTACCCCCAGGGCATCCAAGATGTAGGTGAATTTGTTTCTTCAGTAGAACACAAACGAAGATTTTTAAGTCAAACCGTTGCAGTCTGTCAGTCTTATAATGCAAGTGGATGGGAATCATGGCTTTGAGAGTCAAAAAACAAAACCAAATTAAACCCTGCGGCTCGTGGCAAAACATTGATGTGTAAAGACACGAAACGATTGGTCTGTGCAAGAAACTAAATGCAAAGAATCATGTATGATTCTTTACACACATTGGCAGAAAAAAGACTTTAACATTTTTCAAGTTCTCTTTTGTTTTATTTTACAGGCCACAAGATGAGCAGATACATCATTTAAAAAAAGAAATAAAACTGATATTTGCTTGTCAAAAAATATTATACAATTTTCTCAATACAGATTTTTGTACAGCATGTGACAGAAATGAACTGTAATAGAATCATGATCTTGTAATATAGATGAATGGGATACACAAGCTCCAAACTGTCATCCACAAGCCCATCTTTATACCCAATAAATATAAACTGTTTATATTATATTATTGATAGCCAGGCATAGTAAATACCAGGGCACAATTTCAATTCATGTTCATATCATTTCAGGTACGTCACTGTGCTACACACACACACACACACACATACACGCTCACACACACATGAAGCTGAGCACTGAAGCAGGAGCAGGCCAGCAAAATCACAGTTGGATAAAAACAGATTCCTGGCCACCTCGAAAAGAACATAAAGACGGTAATGAAAGCGGATGAAGACATGGCTCATTGTCCTTGGCAGGATAGAGAGACAGTGAGAAAGAGGGATGGCTATCTGATTGGGCTGTGTGAGAAACACTGTAGAGAGCCACTTGAAATTTGGCCTGATTCAAACAGCTCTGCTGAGGGAAGCTACTCTGACAGACTCTCTCTCTCATGCACACAAACACACACACCATCTTTATCTGTGAGGGCTTTTTTTCTTTCAAGCAACCTAGTGCCGTCCTTTTCAACTCACTCTCTGTCAGCTTCCTTTATCTTTTTTAACTGCGCTCTCCATTTCTCTCTCCATTTACGTTTTTCCACATCAAAATTTAAGCAGAACAAAAAGCTGCATCCAAGTCATGTATCTGTGGACAGTTTTAGCCTCTGAGAAAGCACCTGGCAGCATATTTAATAATTAAAAAAAAAAAAACCTGGGGGGGATGTGGATGCACTTTATGGAACATCAATAATGGTAGACAAAAGCAAATAAAGATACAAAGAGTGGACAAAATAACCTGAAACACCAAACAGTATATAAATATCAAGGAAATGATAAGAGTTCCTTCACAACAAGTACTTGTTGCAATGCTAAAGGAACAGACCTATCCAATTCTTTAGTAATGAAGGGGGTGGAATCTTGTGGTCCAGAAATTTACATAAAAATTCAAAGATGTTCTGATTTGGTGATTGGCCATGGAAGGTGACTTTATCCTGGCAGCCATGAAATTACTCTTGAATTTGTTTAGTAGTGTGCATGGAGACATTATAATCCTCTTATTATGGAACATCACAAGTGAACAGTGCTTTTACCATCTGATGCTAGAAAATGCCTTCTGTAAAGACTTGGTCAGAGAAGTACTGATTCACATAGCCTTCAATTGTTGATGCTGTACTTCGTATGTTTTTGATTGTCAGTGAGCACTGACTTGCGACTTCTGTTTGTCTTTGCCAATGCATTTTTACTATGTTTGGCATATGCTATCATTCTCTTCAAACTCCTTTTCTATGTGGTGTTTCCATTGCTTTGTCCACCCCTATCTAGTGGCCATAATAGGATAAGACAACTGGGATCTACAATGTGTGCATAAATATGCCCCATATGTTTCCTCTAACCTCACCAAACCATGTCATAATTAGAGGAGTCTTTCTATTTGAATCCTTGGTGTTATATTACATTCAGAATGAGAAAATATACACTTGCACTTAATTACTTGAGTCTGGGAGATCACTGGATAAGGGCAACATGATAGGGGACGTCTGCAAAGAGAAGATAGCACTCATTTTTTGCTTGCTGACTGAATTAATCAGCATAAAGTTCACTAGTGTAGGACACAAAGGCTCTGGAAAATGGTGGAATTGCCATTCTGTAAATTTGTTGTGAACTCAAACCAGATTATGAGACACCTTCCCTTTTGCAACCTTGAGGTAGCACTACCATCAAATAGTTAGTCAGGTTAGTCAAGCTGTAATTCATTAAGGATACATTTCCCAATTCCAGCTCTGTATTACATTAACACACAGTTAATAAGGGTTGACAAAGCTTTAAATTTTATCAATCATCATTGATTACCTAGGGTAACACTGCATAGGCAGAAGGATGAAGAATGCTAATGTAGCCAGAATAAAGCCAGTGCATTGGTTGAAGACAGAGGAAGGCTGCCACAGAGTAGCTAGGCTGAGGTGAACCAGGAAAGAACCCTGCACAGGATGTGCTGTAGTGTTGGATCGTTCCTTATTTCATTACAGGGAAAGCTTTATAAATTCACAGAATTGAGAGGAAGGGGGCATAGTGATAATATTTGCATTTCTCCTTTTCCCCCTCTATCTCTCAATCTCTGCCCTCCCTACCTCCTTCTAATACCCCCCTCCCCCTGCCCCCCACTTACTGCAGAGTGACTTTAATCATCACTTTCGCCAAAACACATTAAGCCATTGTGTGTCCGGGGGAAAAACAGCCCTGCACACTCCAAGCATCACATTCTATTTTCAACGGTGATGCATAGCTGGTGCATTACTTTGGAGATTAAAAAGGATATGCTGAATATCAATAGAGTGTGTCTGATGGATGACTGTCCTGGCCCACAATAAAGGGACATCCAATAGACCTACTTGGGAGGAGGTGCACACATTTACCAAAGAAAAGCAGCTCCACACTCAAACACTCAGACACCCGCACACACTGACGAATACACAAATGACAGCACAGACACTCAGACAGCTATAGCAACTGCTCAATCCTGTACTCATGTTTAGTAAAACAACACCAACGCTTAATTATTTATTTACTTTTTTTGTTCAGGAAGGATAACAAAGTCATTTGCATACATTAAACCCAGGCCAGCAGACAATGTGATTCCTCCAGGTTGCGGGGTGGTCATTACAGCATCGGAATAGATGGCGATGTAAAGTGCTTCAGAGCTTTTGCCCAGAAAGACATGGAGGTGATGAATTGAGCACAAACTGAAGGACATGAACCACAGAAAGGACTGTTAGGCCGCTATGACATTATTCCACAGGAGGGAAAATGGAATAGAAGGGGTGAGGGGGGATTTTAAGGAAATGGGGCAAGGGATAACTCTGAGTCCAGAATATGACATCAGCAAAAGGGAATCTTGGTCAATTTGTTCAATTGAGTTCCCGACTTGACCTGCTGCCCTTAAGAAGGCTGTATGGTTGAACGTTTTGCCTAAATGTAGGTCCTCAATGCCCCCACAGTTCACCCAGGCACCCAACTCTGGCTGTTATGTGATTGCTGAGGCCCTGCAAAAACCCCCATTCCCATTCCCATTCCCAAACCTATTCCCATACCAACACCCTGTGATAGCGACCCATCAAAGTTTAAGTCCATTCCCTCTGTTGATTCCATGAAGTCGTTCAGGAGGATGGATTCCACGTCACAATCCAGACTGCTCTGTTGCACAGCCAGTTCCAGCTCAGACTGCAACCGGTTGTGAGGATCCTGGTGATGGTTAGCTTGGTGGTTGCCATGGTAATTAGAATTCTGTGATGTGTGGTGGTAATAACCCTGCCAGGGTTCTGTCATGCCCTGGTGGAGGTGGGAACCTGGGTAGGACTGATGGCGAGGGTGAGGGGCTGAAGCCAGGCGACAAGGGTCTTGGGGTACATCCAAGACACTGGCAGGGTTAGGAGGCAGGGCAGTAGAAGGAAGGTGAGCACGTGAGCCATAAAGGCTGGGTGATTTGTGGTTGTAGGGTTGCAACATGTCATTGTTACCCCTGGGAGAAAGGTCTGGTTGTCTGGAGTTGTTGTGTTGCAGGTGATTGTGCATGTGGTTGGGATTGGGACTAGCATTGAGTTTGTGGTCATGAGATTGAACATAGTCGTGGCCACGGTGGTGTTTGTGGTGATTGTATTCAAGACCTGGGTGATGCTTATTATGAGCTTGATTTGGATTGTGATGATGGCTTGGGTTTTGCTCGTGGGTTACTCCATGGCTGTTGTGAAGACTCTGACTGGAATTGCGATTGTGGCTATGCTCTGGGTTATGATTGTGATTCTGACTGTGATTGTGGCTCTGATTGTGGCCATGAGAGTGCACGGCACTGTTAGATTGTGACATAAGGGAATGGGACGCTGCTCCTTGCCCCACAACCATGTCCTTACCACAGAATTGTGGCCCTCCAGCAAGCAGACTTTCAAGGACATTGCTCTCTGAGTATGCCCTAAGAGCACTCTGGAAGCTGGTAGGCTTGTTTTCCTGAATCGTCTGCATAGGCGTATGATGCCTAAGCATGCCCATGGATGGTTGGCCATAGACCGTTCCACAGTAGGAGGTCTCTCCTTTGGGCCCAGGGCCATAGTGATATCCATTGCGCTTAAGTGGTAGAGGCTGAGAGTAGCCCTCTTCCAAGCTGATGGCTCCAGTTAGATCAGCTAGGTGCGGGAGCTCGACAGATGGACAGTGTCCCCCTGTTCCCAGGGCTGGAGATCTTGTGCTGGTGGGGCTAGGGTAGAGTCTTGGGGAGGCTGAGCAGGAAAGTCCTCCTTCCTCTGGTTCATCAGGTTCTGTCTCAGCCAGAATAGGAGACAAGCATCCACTTAACGTTGATGCAGAGGAGCTTATTCTGGAGTGGAGGTCTGTCCAGGCATCAAACTCTTCACCCCCAACTCCCATTACTCCCTTACCAGCTGGGCTTCCGTGTTCTGGCGATCCCTGTATTCCGGGTCCTCCAAGCTCTCGGCCCATTCCCACAGCTCCTGCTCTCTTCCGGCTGACTCGGCCTCGGCTCTTAAGGTATTTAGTGCCATTGTCCATGGATACAGCTCGTCTTCTGGGCCCTTTGCCCATCTTTCCGCCCTCTGGGTTAAGCATCCACCAGGAACTTTTTCCTGTTCCCTCATTTTGAACACGGATGAAGCGGGTATGTAGGGAGAGGTTGTGTCTGATGGAGTTCTGTGGAAAGGAGAAATAAGGGGAACAGGGAGAAATAAGATAGAGGCATTAGTGATTTTGAATTGAGGTTTATTAATATTGTGTGTCTTAATCTTATGTAGAAAATGAAGATATTTATACACCCTTTTTTTCAGGCCAAGGCCCCCTGTTAGATAAGAGAGACTGTGCAGGGACCCCTATTACATATTCTGTGTTCTGCGTTACATTAGGCCTGACCTATAATAATATACTTAAAGAACCATGTCAATATATTTTCATACTTTATTATGATAAATACATTACAGAGCCAAAATGATCATTAATGATGTACAGAATCATTAACACACTTTTTTTTTGTACAAATCAAACAGTAATTGATGGACACCCCCTGCTGAAGAACCCTGAACTGTGGTATTCAGTGTATATTATATTATTCAGGATTATTCTCAGACAATTTCAAGGTATAAACATTTTCCAAAAAGGGGTATTTAGAATTATTGTATATTAAGCAAGTGCCATGCAAATCAACAGATCTTCAAAATAAGACCATTCAAGGTTCTAATCTCACAAGAATTATGCAAGTTCCTATAAAAACTCAAAAGCAGTTCAGAGCACTGATTGCAGGAAGAGGTGAAACCCCTCTTGGCTGCTCAGGCAAATCAATACTGTAAGCAGACCAGCTCCTGCACGGCACACGCTTTCTCTGACTCACGCTGCAGCTAGCCTAGCCAAGTCCACACGCACATCAAACCGTAGTCAAGGTTACCCAAATGAATCACACGTGGCAATCTGATCACAGACGCCTCTATCGATTGCAGTCTTGAGGAAATATGAGGGAAAGCCAGAGAGTGAGACGAGAAAGCGAGAGTGAGGCGTGATTTTGGCAAACTAGCAAACCTGGAGGAGCACCAGACAAAGGAAACCAGAGAGAGATAGAGAGAGACAGAGTGAGAGAGAGGGAAAGGCTTCAGTGGTACAAATGCAGCAGAGAAATGCATTTCTTTCTTTGCTGTGCAACAACAATGGAGTTAAGAATGTTAATGATAGGGACAGTCTCGGATGTGAATCAGTCAATGCATTGTTCCAGCAGTGCAGTATAGCAACTATGACATGAAACACCTGTTCACATACAGTAGCTATGTGTATATTACTGCACAGAACTTACAGAGGCCCACTATCAATCTGAGTTATTTCACATTAGTAAGTCTTCTGGATTTAATAAATATGATTTTAATTAAATTAAATTATGTGACTTTATTTTTTTATTATAAAGGTTCAAGGCTGTACTATATAGTAAATAAAGTCACAGCAAAAGCTTTTTCAAACATTCCGTTGTGCATCTTGCCTAACAATGAACTTTATATTTCACACAATTGCAAGGTCTCCCATACCGAATAGCATATATATTTTTTTTCAGTGTAAAGATTGCACTCTCAATAGCATGTTTAAAGTATTTATCCAGTACCTCCACACATAAATAGCAGAAATAATTAAAATCAACAAGATATTTACTTATTTTATATATGAGTAAAATCTGTTGCAATCAGACATTTTTATTGATTAGATTCTACTGAGGTTGGAATGGACTCCTTTGAATAAAGCTGCTTTTTGATTAGCTGGAGAATGATATGCTAGGCTTACAAGACATCATAAGAAAGATAAATAAAATGAATGAGGCCAACTACTCTGAGACAGCACAGCACTGATACTCAGAACAGACTAGGACAGCATGTTCCTAACCATCCCTGAGAAAAAAAAGCAAAAGGGCCAAATCCCTCAATCTGCTTCTCCCTGTTGCATGCTCTTTTCACAGGAAGGTGGTGCTCACAGTATGGTCATGCCTAAAATTAATGGGGCATTTGACAAAATATTTATACTTGGTCCCCTCTCCCTCAGACGCAATGAATAGGCTATATCATAAAGGGCCCTCATTACAGGGCCCAGGACAATGCTCCTAGTTGTCCATTCTGGACGATGGGCATGGCACACAACATTCAGAGTCTCAACCGATCATCTTAACTGATCTCTATTTCCCTCTCTGTTTCTATTTATCCAGCAGGAAAATCATCAGTCCATCAAATTCTGAACATTACCAACAATCCATATTATGGATTGGCATGTGTACACAGCACCATTAATGTAGTGCAAGCTCCACTCCTTACAATAACACACCGTCTTTCAATCTCAAAGCTACATAGCCTCTTCACACCTTCCTTCACTCAGATTCCCTCATTCTCACACTCATTCATCTCTTTCCCTGTGTCCCGCATCTGTTTATCACTCTCTTTTCACTCGCTCTCCATCCCAGCACAAATCACACTACTAATTTCATTCACCTGCTCTGACTGAAGAAAAAATGCAAATAAGACAAAACAAATCTACTTCCTGTCCCTCAATCATCCACAATACAATTACGCTTCAAGTGCGTCTATCAGCCCATCTATACTCCATAATCCCCCGTCGCACCCCCTTACGGAAAGCAGCCTCTTGTTTTCCGTAGTGATTCTGAGAACCATTACCGCTCACATGAGTGGTCAGATATCAGTCACTGAAAAGAAACAATTACCTTGGCAAAATTTACACTACAGCTGGATATCAACTGTAAAGCAGGCTAATCTCGAAGAGCGTGCTGTTTCAGTGTCACCTCACACCTGAGGGGCTAATTCGTCCCCTAACACCGGTGGCAGATTTGCTGCATTTTGTTCCGTTCCCATTCAGAGTGGTGAGAAATTGGATAAGCAAGATGTATTTGCGTCCCCTCACCCCCCAGGAAGGGGTTTTATTCTCCTTCGGTTATTCTGCCAAATGACACGAGCCCCCGTGCTGGTGAAAGAGCCAGATGCTTCCTGGGCTGACTTAATCAAAGCAAAATTGAAGCACAGTGTCACGAGTGGGAACTGCGTACCGAAACGACCTGCGCGAGGTGATCTGAGCACGACGCCCTGACAGCTCAGGCAAGCGTGCTCTGTTGCAGGGGTAACCATGACTACTGTGGAAACAGGAAAAGAGGAGGTACGTGCGAGAAGCGGGGGGAAGAGAGAGGCAGATGCTGTTTGATGCTTTCATCTCTGACAGTCAGACGACTCGCCCAACTCGCAAGAGAGCTTCAATCATCAGCAGTCACACCGTCGCTTGATCTGTCTCAGAGGAACAATGATTAGCAAGTCAACTATAGGCTGCATGACTTCACAGTAGCTACCAGCACCCCACCACTCCACAGATCAGTTCTCCAAACTGCCGTCTACACATGAGCTTGTTGTAGAAAGCTTGCATTTTTAAAACATGACAACTCTCAGACTTGAAAGACCACAAGTCGTCGTTTAGTCGTTGATAACATTTGCTCTTTGCCCTTAGTGTCTCCATTAAGACGGGGGAAGAGGTAGAGCACTGGGTGTTTGATGAAAGCAGATTATTCATGAAGTCACAATTGCTGTGGTGGTGTGGCCTGTGGTGAGCGTTATAAATAGCAGGTCTGTGGTTCGGAATTTGACCCAGACACCTTCAAGCTCTTCTGCCTCTGAGTCATTCACTGGCCAGCCATGTAGCCGTCTGCTGATGACCTGCTTTGGCTCTCTCTGATACACCCAAACGCACTCTCTGCAACTACTCTGGTTACATCTGCAACTATTAACTGATACTCTCTTATCAAAGCTTACATAAAGTCCCAGTGTAATGCTGCAGTAATAATGACCTCTCTACGAAATATGAGGTATAACAGTATTAGCTGCTTAGTGTCTGCAGTTAGCCCATGCTGGTAGATGCTGCAGCTGCACAATTATTTGGTCAACATTATTAGTGAATTCTGACAAAGAAGATGTCAATTTTATAATAGTAGATGTTTCACCAGTAAATGATTTTTGTCGTCTGCAACGATGAGATGTAGAGTCATCAGACACATGGAATTGAGAAATTACAACTTCTTGATTTACAGTATGACAGTCATTTGCAATGACAGTAAAACTTGGATTCACTGCCAAACATAGTTGGCAATATAAAGTAAGCAACAGCATGTTGGCAATGCAACAAAGTGCAACGACTACCAATGAAGTGAAGCTTACTGCCACCTGATATAGCTGGATACTGCAGTTGAGTAACGTCTACTAGTGGCCAACAGTGACCTCAGTTAGCATTTTAATCATGAGCATTTTAAAACACCCTGCTAGTCAAACACACACATGAAGGCTGACCTTCCAAATAGAACAGTGTGCTCAGTGGAGAAAACATTTAAACACATACACACACTCGCTCTACATTCAAACACAACCTGATATACAGACACTTTCAAATATGCCCGGCAAACCAGAAAAATCTGGCAATCAGGTTTAATCCCACTCCAGCCTGCATAATCCAGAGAAATCTAGGGCTAATCCTGGTTAAATCTGGTGGCCTCTTAGCTGACTATAACCCCTGGAACACAACAAAGTAACAGGGATTGAAGGGATGTTGGCCATGCAGGAGGTGTGTAGAAGAAGAGTGATGACCGGCGTAAAATGAAAAATTAGGAGATTTCATTACATAACTAAATAGACTGCAGATTAGATTCAGGGTACTAATGCTTCCTTAAACAAGTGGCACATTCCACAGATAAACTTTGGTTCATTAATAACTACAAACCAACATTTGGCATCTTACTGTATAGGCTAAATTTGAACCTTGTTACTTGCAATGCTGTGGTCGTTCCGGCAGAAAATAATAAAACAACTGATAGAAATGTTTATACTTTCAAGTCTTATTTTGTACCCTATTTGTGGAAAGGAGCAACTAAATGACATTGTTCTCAATTTTACCATCTTTTGTAATTTATGCTAATATGTAGCTTGGTACATTTAGTCAAATTAAGGTTTATAACCAAGATCATTACCTATGTATTTGACCGCCTGGCGCCAATGGTCGCCTCCGCCCTCTTGTTTTCGTGTTAGGCACATCTGCCCACGACAAGTCATAAAAAGGCTGCTTTTACATGGAAAGTTCCGCCTTAACAATTGCCCTGACACACTAAAAACAAAATATCATACAGCGAG